CCTTGTTATTAATCTTAAAAGGAATGCTTTCATGCTTTACCATTAGGTATGATGTTTGTTTTACATTTTTACATTTGTTTTGTTTGTGTAAATGCTCTATATGAGGTTTTTTTTTAAAGTTCCTTTCTATTCCTAAGTTTTAACCATTAATAAATATAGAAATTTATTGTGTATCTCTTCTATATCTATTCAGATTACTAGCTAGTTTTTCTCTTTTAATTCATTAATGTAATAAATTACCTTAATCAGTTTTCAAATATTAAACCAATGCTACAATCCTGAGATAAATCCAACTTGATCATGACCTTTTTTTACACACTGCTAGATTCCATTTGCTAATATTTTATTTCAGAGTATTTATCCATAAGCAAGACTGGACCATTATTTTTTATCTTATACTTTCCTTTGCAAGTTTTGTAAGACTTTGTATGAAAATGAAGTTGGGGGCGCCTGGGCATCTGCCTTTGGCTCAGGTCATGATCCCAGGGTCCTGGGATCGAGTCCCATATGGGGCTCCCTGCTCAGCAGGAGGCCTGCTTCTCCCTCTCCTGCTCCCCCTGCTTGTGTTCCCTCTCTTGCTGTCTCTCTCTCTGTCAAATAAATAAATAAAATCTTAAAAAAAAATGAAGTTGGTCTTTTTTTTTTAATGCTTGATAGAACTCACTGGTAAAGCTACAGAATGATATTTATGGAAAAATATTTGATTACTGACTCAACTTCTTTAAATGTTATAATAATAATTAGGTTTCCTATCTCTTTTTATATTAGTTTTATTAGTTATTTTATATTTGGTACCTTGTATATTTCCAGAAATTTATCCATTTTATATAAAGTTTCAAATTATTGGGAAAACATTATTCATAATATCTTCTTGTTATGTTTTTCATGTCTATAGAAAATGTAATGATGTCCTCCTTTTTCAATCCTAACAGGATTGTGTCTTTTCCTTACTTGATTAATCTTGGGTGTTTGTTTTTTATTAGTATTTTCAAAGGAAAAATTGGGGGCTTTTATATTTTTTCTTCTCTTTATGCTATTATCTTTTTTTTTTAAAGATTTTATTTATTTGACAGAGAGAGACACAGCGAGAGAGGGAACACCAGCAGGGGGAGTGGGAGAGGGAGAAGCAGGCTTCGGCAGAGCAGGGAGTCCAATGTGGGGCTCGATCCCAGGACCCCGGGATCATGACCTGAGCAGAAGGCAGACGCTTAACTGACTGAGCCACCCAGGCACCCTATGCTATTATCTTTTAGATTTTCTTAATCTCTGCTCTTATCTCTTTGTTTTTTTGTATTTTCTTTGAGTTTATTTTGTTTTCTTTTGCTAACTTCTTGAGATGGATGTTTAGCTCACTAATATTTAGCTTTTTCTTTTTCTAAAGTAAACTCTCATGAGATAAATTTGCCTTTCAAATACTAATGTTGCCATACCCCACAAGTTTATTATGTAGTATTTTTATCAAGTGATAAAACATGCAACATTATTTCTCCATTGATGTTGGGGTTTTTAATAAGGATTTTTTTTTTTGTTTCCAAATATATGGAGATTTCCCAGTTATTTTTTAAAACTGATTTTTAGTTTACTTCCCTATTGATCTGAGAACATAATGTACATGCATTATAGTTCAATATATAGTCAATATTTGTTTATGTTCTCCCTGTGCTTGAAAAGAAGGGATATTTTATATTATAAATATGTAACATATTTTATAATACTTAATATTTTTATTTTATAATGTTCCGCATATGCCTGTTAGGTCAAGTTTAATCATGTTTTCAATCTTCTATAGTCTTTCTGAGCTTATCTGCTTTTTCTATCAATTACCAAGAACGATTCTTAAAATCCACCTGCTATTATTGTTGATTTCATTAACTTTCAATAATTTTCATTATTATTCTGTTAACTTTTGCTTTATATATGTTGAAGTTGTAACATTCAGTCCATAAAATTATAACTTGTTACTTCTTTCTGATGGCTTTTAAAATTTTATCATTATGATATTACTATCTTCTTTGTAATACCTTCTGGCAAATAAGAAATTTTGTCCACTGGTGTGCTGGAACTGACTCATACTAATTTACAGGAGCATTACACGTATCTCTTCACAAGTTAGTGTTTGGTAATGTCACATCAGTGGCTTGAAATCAGCCATAGGGGAATATTAACACATGGAAATTGGTGAATGCTACAAATCGAGTCTTCTCATCTGCCCCCAAGAGCTGGTTATTAAACATTTACCAGCATAGCTCTGACTTCATCCAATATTAATATAGCCACACCAACTTTCCTTTGGTTAGTGTTTGCAAATTTTAACTTTTTTCCATCCTTTTAATTTCAACTTCTCTATATCTTTCCATTTAGATGTGTCTCTGAAAACAGCATATAGTGGGATATTTTTTTTAATGCAGTGTGACAATCTCTGTCTTTTAACAGGAGCATTTTTGTCCATTTGTATTTAATGTGTTCCAAATATTACATGGTGCATACTTACACCAAAAAAGTTATTAGTTGTTTATCTGAAATTCAAATTTGCCTGGGTGTCCTATATTTTATTTGCTAAGTCAGGTGAGTCTATTCCTATCTTGTTCCTAGCCTTAAACCTCAGAATAAAATGGTACCAGATCATAATAACAGTTAACATTGTGCCAGGCCTTCTGTGAAATTCTTGACATTTTGTCCTTTAGTCTTCAAAACAAAACAAAACTATAAAATGCAAGCATTAATCCAAAACTATGGTGTTGGAATTACTGTTATACCCTTTTTAGGTTAAAAATATGACACATACAGAGATTATCTGCCCAAGTTCAGCAAGTGACTCAGAAAGACAGGACTATCTTACTATAACTTCAGCCCCACAGGTATTCGAGATGAAGTTCACCTTTCTTCTCTACATGAACTGTGATAGGTCCTGGTGCATCAGAAAGTTAATAGGCAGAGATTTACAGCTATTTCTGTTTAATCAGCTCCAATTCTGTTCTTCTTTAGTAGTTAAAATATTCTTGTGTGTGGAAATATATGCACCAGTGCTATACATGCAATTCTTTTCTACTCAGAATTCCCACATACTCCAAGATCAGGTTTGCATGAAAGCACTAAAAATGAGGAATGGTGTCTTTCATGGTTTGCAATATCAGAATCACAAGCAGCAATAAGATTTAGAAAATATAGATGCTGAGCTAATTCTGATATGAGTTCTTTAAGCATCATAAGAATCTAATGAGCGAACTATGTTCCAACTATGTAGCACCCCTGGGATCACAGAGAGAGAGGTTCCATTGCCAGCAACCCAGCACTGCTGGAACCAGAAGGAAAGTGGGTGTTTGGCACATTTCATTTAATGTGTCCCATAAACAAATCCACATTCTTATACCATGATATTTTCTTAGTGCACCCCCAGCTTCTAAAGTTTCCTTTTCCTGAATTTTGGGGAATTTTTTCTCTATAAGCTCTTGGTAAATCTCTATGAATTCCTGCCACTCATCTTCTTCACCCACTTCCAAGCAGATCATGGACTCATCATGGACTGCCTCTGGCTTATGAATTACCTGGTACTGTTCAAGCATAACCGTTTGTTTTCCATGCCATTCAACATTTGTGTCAAGCTACGCTCAAAAAATGCTCTAAACTATAATGTCCCATACATTTGTGAGGTACAAATTGCCACTGGTCATCCACATATCAGATTTACTGGTAATCTTCCATTTGGATTCTCTTACCCATAACCTGTGTGTTTATTTAAACTCTGGAAGGAGTTCTGAAACCTATGGAGTTGGTGCCAAAAAAGTATCCATGATATGTTAAAAATTGGGAAGCAGAAGAAAGGAAAAAAGTTAATAGGATTTAAGTTAATGTAAGGATGAGATGATTAAAAGCAACTTAATGGTCCCACTTGCAAAATGGAGACGGTAGCTGCCTACCCAGAATGACTTGAGGGGGGACTAAAAATCCGGTTGCTAGAGAAAACACGGGTTTCTTCTTAGCTCCTAAAAATAAGCCCCAGCTAGGCAACTTGAACATAATTGTTCTCACCTCAGTTTCACATCCTGTTTACCTGACCTCAGCACTCAACCAGCTCCACTCACCATTTTTTCAAAGTAATATACTTTACAGTTAACCACAGCTTTTATAGAAATATCCTACTTTTCGAACTTTCAAGACTGGCTTATTTGGGGCAGAAAGAATTTTGCTAATTTTGCTTATGTATTCACATGAATTTCATTTCCAATCCTTAACTTTTTCAACTTTCCTGCTAAAATTTTCAAGTAAATTTAGCACTCCATGCAGAGGCAATGTGTTTATCCTATAGTTTCCCACAATCTGTGACCCCATATCACGTACCTCGAGAACACTTGAGAGTCAAGGGCATTCCTGTGGTTCTGGAATTACAGCAGGAACAGTGCCCTGGAACTGGCAGTGGCTGTGCATGGACCTCAGCCAGGGTCCATTATGAGGCGATGCCACGTGTTAGATGAAGGCAGCCGTGTGAGACCTTCACACCATCCTATGGCAAGTACTTCTGTTGTGTTTCTCTCCTCTCCCAGGACAGAAAGGTCAGTCAGCTTTGACACTCCTCCCCTTCTCCATATGCCCTCCTCTCTCTCCCCACGAAGGGGTGGACGAATTAGCACGCATTTCTGTTCCAAATATAGTTGAGGACACGGCCCTGCTGGACCCCTGCTTCTACACTCCTGACACTTACCAGACCTGAAAAGCTCATGACGCCACCTGTTCAGAGGTCACCCCCGTCTGGACACAAAAGAGACAACCCCTTCTCTCTTGCTTACTTCTGTCCTCAACTTCTGTTCCTGCCCACTCACCAAGCTGCATGTGCCCTCAACAAAAAGTGCAATTTTGCACCTCAACAAAATTTCTCAGGTGAGGTCAGTACCTCACCTATAGGTTTAGGGTCTTTTGTTTTTGTTTTTTCAGTGCAATGAGGTGGAAGAGGGGCTCAATACTTATGTATACAAAGAGAGACTAGAAAATAGAAATTAGGGTGCCTAGGTGGCTCAGTCAGCTAAGCATCTGCTTTCGGCTCAGGTCATGATCTCAGAGTCCTGGGATTGAGCCCCATGTTGGGCTCCCTGCTTGGCGGGGAGTCTGCTTCTCCATCTCCCTGTGCCCCTACCCGCCCCCTGCTCATGTTATCCCCCTCTCTTTCTCTCAAATAAGGAAATAAAATCTTTTAAAAATTAAAAAAATAGGAATTAGCAACCTTTATTTCTTATAATGGTTTTCCAAGGTCTTAGCCCTTTTTGTTCTGACATATCAAGTATAATGGCTAAACCTGATTTTGCAATGAGAAAAAAGATAATGCAATTGCTCTAATTCGTTGAGACAAGGGACCACTAATTGTCATTCTCATAGAGTGAGATGTTGCTGAACAAGTGTGTTTGGGAGGTAAGGAAGGCTGCAATGGCATCCAAGTTTCAAAACACCAGTCAGAATGGCTAAAATTAACAAGTCAGGGAACGACAGATGTTGGCGGGGATGTGGAGAAAGGGGAACCCTCCTACACTGTTGGTGGGAATGCAAGCTGGTGCAACCACTCTGGAAAACAGTATGGAGGTTCCTCAAACAGTTGAAATTAGAGCTACCATTCGATCCAGCAATTGCACTACTGGGTATTTACCCCAAAGATACAAATGTAGGGACCCGAAGGGGTACGTGCACCCCAATGTTTATAGCAGCAATGTCCACAATAGCCAAACTGTGGAAAGAGCCAAGATGTCCATCGACAGATGAATGGATAAAGAAGAGGTGGTATATATACACAATGGAATATTATGCAGCCATCAAAAGGAATGAGATCTTGCCATTTGCAACGACGTGGATGGAACTGGAGGGTGTTATGCTTAGTGAAATAAGTCAATCAGAGAAAGACATGTATCATATGACCTCACTGATATGAGGAATTCTTAATCTCAGGAACAAACTGAATGTTCCTGGAGTGGTTGGGGGTGGGAGGGATGGGGTGGCTGGGTGATAGACATTGGGGAGGGTATGTGCTACGGTGAGCGCTGTGAATTGTGCAAGACTGTTGAATCACAGATCTGTACTTCTGAAACAAATAATGCAACATATTTTAAGAAAAAAGAAAAAGAAGAAGATAGCAGGAGAGGAAGAATGAAGGGGAGTAAGTCCGAGGGGGAGACGAACCATGAGAGATGATGGACTCTGAAAAACAAACTGAGGGTTCTAGAGGGGAGGAGTGTAGGGGGATGGGTTAGCCTGGTGATGGGTATTAAAGAGGGCACATTCTGCATGGAGCACTGGGTGTTATGAACAAACAATGAATCATGGAACACTACATCAAAAACAAATGATGTAATATATGGTGATTAACATAACAATAAAAAAATTTAAAAAATATTCTCTGAAATGACAAAAAAAAAAAAGCTTCAGGGAGAGAAACTCATGCATCATTGACAATCGGTCTGTGTGCTGACTATTCAGAGAGTTTATTCACTTCATATTTCATTAAAGAAAATCACTGGACATTTTCTTAATTTCTATGATTATCTTCTCTATCATTTATTCCAACACATTTTCACTAGGGGTGGCACTGTAGAAATTTAATGGGAACACACATATAAGAAGAGAAGTGAGAAAGCAAGGTGTAGAAGCTCCTGTGTTTCTCCCTTGATCATGTAGAAAACAGTATGCTTAAAATCCATGCAATTTTCTGGAAAAACATTAAACAAGGTATTCAATATATCTGCATAAGTTTTGAGGCATAGCCAGGTCTGTTAAGCACAATGTACATTCAGTTGCCCTTGCTCTGTGGAAAAATTTCTCAGGTGTATAATTGAGCATTTCTACTAAGGTAGGGGGTGGACAGGGATAAAATTGACCAGAAAGAAGTAGAGAATTTGCTTAAAGGCCACAACCCCTCACTCATTTTTGGTAAGGTCAGGAAGTTTATACAAGATTAAATTATTATTTTTAAAAATTGCCTGTCATTGATTTGATCCTGAAATGTTATCTACTTTCTCTCTGTGGAATTCTGTTCTTCAAATGGAGATTTTTGTTCTATAGGAATTCCAGTAACTTTTCTCTCTACTTCTGTTAATTCATTCATTAAGGCATTGCAGGCCTTTTCCCTTAGGAAGCATAATGCATTCTCTAAGTGCTTGTACCAGTGACTGTTGCTTTCATAGCAGTGCTGCCATAAAAGCTCCATTCCTCCTTTTCCTGTTGTCTGTTTTATTGTCACAGTATGTGTACAGTAATCCTATATTGTGAGGCTGCAGGGTTAGATGGCTGGAAAATATCTCTCTAGAAGAGAGTTTAGTGATGAGTGGTCCAAACAGGATGGTAAGGATCCACTTGAATATATAACCAAGAAAGAGACTGATTCATGGGCAAAGCTGAGCCATGAAATGGAAACTCCATAAGCAGCCTACAACTGGAGGCCAACTTTGGTATAGGAAGGAAAACAATTGATATGACAGGGAGATGATGTGCACTATCACGGCTTCCAGGATGCCAGTCAACATCAAGGCCACATGGCCACCAGTCTAGAATCTAGAATGGAAAAGATACTTTGGACTAAAAGGCTAGCCTTCACATTAGCTAGTAGATATGCTTAGGCAATCTAATTTTATTTATTTTAAAGATTTTATTTATTTATTTGAATGAGATAGAGAGAGCATGAGATGGGGGAGGGTCAGAGGGAGAAGCAGACTCCCTGCTGAGCAGAGAGCCTGATGCGGGACTCGATCCTGGGACTCCAGGATCATGACCTGAGCTGAAGGCAGCCGCTTAACCAACTGAGCCACTCAGGCGCCCTAAGCAATCTAATTTCAAAACAATAAATGAAGAGTCAAAATCCCAGTATATTTCAGAAGCTTTTGCCATGCTACCCCTGGACGGATTTGACTTTTCCTTAGGATAAAGTCATGTTTTAATTTAGTATTTGAATTCAGTGGTTGTTAAATTAATTTCCTTTTCTATATATATGGAAATTTCCAAACTTGTCATAGCTATACTGGGTTTCAGGATTTGGGTCAGCTCCAGGGTAGAGTGGCTAAAGAAAAAAAAAAAGACCCTCTCCAATTTAAATCTTCAGTGTCAACCACTTTTCTTAGCATGCTGGAAGGTGCTCTGCCCATGGACAAATTGTATTCTTTCCTGCTCACCTAAATATTTTCTGCCACAACTTTCATGAAAACCTCCCAGCCTGTTGGGAGTCTATTCCACCATGGCTGTCTCAGCCCTTCCTCAAACGATCTGTTTTGCTGAAAAATCACCCCCATCAACAAATGTCAGTACTCAACATGTACAATTCCAAACTCAAAGTGATTAGTTTATTTTCCAACAGTTTTCAGTATAATGTGTTACATATTGACACCTTCTAGTGAAGTGACACATCATCATGTTGAATATACCAGGCTCTGTGAGCACATTGCAAACCCCAAAATAAAAAAAAAAAATAAAAAAAAATGGAGGAAAAAAAGAGAAGAGAATAAAGGGGGGGAAATGTTGATAGCTTTACATGTGGTTATCAGAGGAATCCTCACCCATATAGGGAGGATTTGTTTTAGGAAAAGTGGTAAAGGCAGATCTTTCAAAGAGTTTTGCTGTGTGAATGGAAAAAAATGGGTCAATAGCGGGAGGGGAAGTGTTATCAAGAGAATCCTTTAAAGAAAGGGAAAAGTAATAGCATGTTTGTAGGCTGCTAGGAATAATCCAACATAAAGAGGGGAGATAATGATGTAGGCAATGCAGAAGAGTTTCTGGAAGAATGTATTCAAGAGGTAAAAAAAGAAGCAAGAAAGAGAGAGAAAGAGAAAAAAAAGAAAAAGAAAGAAAGAAGAAAAAAGAAAGAAAGAAAGAAAGAAAGAAAGAAAGAAAGAAAGAAAGAAAGAAAGAAAGAAAAAGAAAGAAAGAAAGAAGAAAGCAAAGGAAAGGAAAGGAAAAAGAAAAGAAAAGAAAAAAGGTGGGATCCAGGGCATAAGTAAAGAAATTGGCCTTGAATAGGAGCGGACTGCTCGTCAAGTAGTCACAGGAGGGAAAGCAGAGTATATAAACACAGATGCAGTCAGTGAGCAGATGCAGTGCTGAACACTGATAAAGTTCTCTTCTTGCTCCTCTTATTCTTAATAAAATGTGGAACAAGGTCATCAGCTGAAAGTGAGAATTGGCAAGAAGTGCAGGAAATCTGAGAAAAGTTTTATGTAGTTCTCCCGGAGAGTGAGAAATTCAATGGTCAATGGACCAAAGAAACTTACTGTGATACTAGTTAAGGATTATACATTGAAAGTGAGTCCAAATGGTTGTTCTTCTCCATCCATGTTCAACTACAAGGATGCAAGTGAGGAGTGGGAAGAGGGCTGAATTTAACATGGCTATGGTTTTATCTCAATTACAATAATTGAGGGGCAAGGGAATTGAGGACTTGTCATCCTAAAGAGCTGGGCAATATTACTATTCTTTCCCATTGATATCCATGGTTTTAATT